TGAAGGCTCGGCCGGAACCGGACTCCTCGTGGCCGGAGCGGCGGTTACCTCCCTCTCTCTCTAGAACTTTCCTTCTCTCTCTATAATTTTCTTTCTCTCACTATTTACATTCTTTTCTTTCTGTCCTTTCTCCTTCTCTTCCTTTTTCCCCTTTATTTTTTCTTTTTCTCTTTTATTTGTATGTTACTAAAAAAAAAGGGTATAATGACCAAATTACCCTCCAGGGATTAACCTTCACCATCCTTTTAATTTTCTATCATTTTTCTTTTATATTTTTCTTAAGTTCTTTTATTCCTCATCATTTTTCTCTTCCGTCTCATCTCGGATTTTGGTCTTTAAGACCTTCACTAAAATTGAGAGAGATCGACTTTTAAGGTAAACTTAGATTTTAAACTTTCAATTGAGGCTCGGGTATTACACTTAGCCATTGGCTAAACAAAGCACAAATGCTCTTTTTACTATATCTTCTAAGTCCTCCTTACAAATACAACAAACATGGCTTTATATAGCCTCAAAATGAAACTATTAAAGGGATTCCAAAAGTTGTAACATTCACACTTTATGGTCATAATTAGCCATTATGTAAATGTAACCGAAATTAAATAAAAAGTCTTAAAATACAATAACTCTAAATTACTCTAAATTATAACCCACCCAAAATTTACAACAATCAAACTTTATTCTTCTTCAATGTNATTGACGTATAGAGTGATCATTCATTATTTATCGCCCTAAGGCATAATCATAACTACCACATAACCCCAAAACAAACAACAAATTCACATGCTTTACATCATACCGTAACCTATTAAACAGGGTTAGACTGCATACCTGGTCGTGGCAAGGCGTGTCGTCGAGCTGAGTCACAGAGGTGTACGACTCTCTATCNTGATCATGTCGAGCTTGAATGATTCTACATGCAACCTAAACTACATAGAGTTGCAAATAAACTTAGTGTCACGACTCGATTTTCGAGGGTTCGAAAACCAGACCGTGAACCAAAAAAAACGAAATCGAAAACAAACAAAAAGAAAGTAGAAGAAAAGAAAACCAAAGTAAAAATATAAAAATACTTTGAATTAAAACAAAAGAGAGAAATTTTGTTTGTTAATTATTACAAAAGAAATTGCAAATATAAAATGAAATACAAAAGACTCTAAAAAACCGAAAAGGGACTGACGCTCCGGAACGACCCCCTCTGTGACTGTACAACTCTCAAACGCTCCTCTACCTCGACCAGCAGCCAGTGAACACCTGAGAAAAATAAATGAGAACGGGATGAGTATAAAAATTATACTCAGTAAGCCACCTACTTGTAGGCTCTCTTCGCATCTTAATTTAACAGAACTCCCACGGTTTCCTAATTCGGTTCTAGGACATCGGGTTCTAACCTTAGTCTCTTGGGGCTTGCCCCTTGAGTTTCACCGGTTTATCGTCCTTTCATTAGTCACCTAGAGGTTCCTTATGCCCAGCTAATATGGTCGGTATCTCTCTATGAGGCGCTACCTCTACATGGCTATCTAGAACTACATGGTACCTAGCCTAGGGGTGTGCTGAATACCCCTACGCCCATATAGTCCTCCTATGGGGGGCGCGACCCAACCCGTTCCCATGCAGCTAATGGGCTGTACGACGTGGGGACACATTTCCCATGCGAAATGGCTAAGAACAGTAAGGACTGATCAGGGACCCTTGGTCCTCCCACGAAGCTATAGATACCGTTCTCACGCTAGCAATCTATGAACCCCCTTAGGTACTTTCTTACCGTGGTGAACCGCTAAGTTTCTAGGGGAAAATTAAGTCTGTCTAGAGCAGCATATCGCTCCTAAAAGAAATTCCCTAATCTTATCACAGAAATAGGCCCTAGCAATTAACAGAGGGTGCATGCAATCTTCTTCTAACATCATAGTATGTAATTCATGCAAACTAGGCATACCGGCTCAACGGGGCGATGACCTCCATCAAGCACCCAGAGCACGAGGTTCGCGTTCAATGGGGCGAATTCGTCCATCAAGCACCCAAAACCCGGCATACACAATTCTAACATAAATTAAACGCATGCATACGTACAACGGAAGCTTAAGGCATACAAGCAACACTCAGATAATTCACCCAACACATCATAACAATCCATCTAATTAACCTCATTCATGGAGAGCTAATTTAAGGCAAAAATTACTAACATGCATACATACAATCCAAGCGAACCCTACAAGTATTTCTTCCTAAATACCGGGTGGTGACTTACCCGATTGACGCGTGTTCTTCGTTGAGCATTTCTACACCAATAGAGTGTCCACAAATGTTGAATTTTCCCATTTAAACCCTATTCCATATAAAAATAGGGTTAGAGTTGGAGTCGGAGGGAAATCGGGCAAACAGAAATCGAACGGGCTGAAAACAGCACCTCACGCGCTATCACGCGCCTGGGGAAGGTGCTACACGCGCACGGCCACGCGCGCGTACGGACGCGCATGAGGGAGGGGATACGCGCGCTGAGGTGTTGCCACGTGGCGCCCGATAAACGGTCAGCCGAGGTCGAGGT